ACTTGTCTCCAAGTTTCCGGTCAATATATTGGTTATTGGATGAGTATTGGCCAATATGGCTGGTTAATAATTGCCCATCGGTATTAGCCAAAAAAACTTTTAGCGGTACACCCCTAAGGGAAGGGTATGTAAACTAAGTGAATGTTCTTAAATTTTAGGGTGTTCGTTCATGTGACATGAAAGCATGGAGACAACACTGGAATCATCAACTCTACAAAGCCCTGGAGCATCAATATCAAATGGGTTTAGAGGCACTCAATGAGAATCTAACAGAAATCAATATTGATTTAACTTTCAAGTAAGATGATTTTTTTTTTCTACTGGAAAGGTGCTCTTGCTGGAAATCTGCTGAACATTTCAATTTGATGTAACTTGTTCCACATCTAGACAAGGAAGATTGCAATTCAGACCTCCTTTTGAAGAAGTACGAGCTAGATACTACAGAGAAATGAAGAGATTCATCTCCATTCCAAACCAGTTTAGGGGAGTGAGTGAAACAGAAGAAGAATCTATCTTTGCTGTTATGACTGAGAGGAATGCAAGTGGATTTCTGACCACTTTCAGTAAAGCAGAGGATTTGTTCAGAAGATTGGGAGAAGTTTCAAATCAATTTAAGGTCTTTACAGTTTTATGATTGAGTTAGATTATTTCTTTTAGAATTATTTACATTTTCATGGACAACCATTTTAGAAATACCTGAGCTTTGACTTTTTTGTTACTCTCTTGGCTCTATAGCCTTGATTTAACAAAACACATGAGAAAGTGTTTGACTTCAGGCATATGAGGAAATGTTTCTATATTCAACAAAACACTTATGTATCTGGCATTTCATTTTTAAATTTTGATATCTCTGAGACTTGCTTCTTGTTGTCCAAGATATGTTTTACATCATCTTTAGAAAGTGTGGGCATGTCATACCAGTCTGTAACTTCTAACTGAGTACTGACTAATGATAAATATCTTTTATAAAAACAGAACTTCTCGATGTTATGATCAAAATTGTTAAATTGAAAAAGGGCACATATTTAAATAAATTAGATTGAGAATACAATAAAAAGTATAATCTTTGTTTTAACATTAATGCAAAGTGGTGCTTTGTTATTTTAAAATTCCTTTTTTCTTTTTTATATACTAATATACAATGTTGAAAAGGAATGGGTTGTATTTGGACAAGTAGATATGGAAATTCTGGTGGAAAAGCATCTTTCTAGTGAACAGGACTGGGAAAAAAACTTTAAAGCATTAAAAGTAAGAGGCAAAGAAGCAGAACGCCTTCCAAGGTACAGTATAGCTACCCATTTTTATCTTTGAACAGTGGGTTATTTATTGGCCAATTACTATAGTGCAATAGTGTAATAGATATCTTCTTTTCATACGAAAAAATAGGTGCAGTTTCAATACTCTTTTTAACATCAATATATTTTCATATATTTAACTCTCTCTTTGTCAGATTGGTATTATAATTTGCTGTGCTGTTACAGAACTTTTTGCTTGACTCCATCTCCTACCAAAATCATTTAAAAGGCCCCCATAGATTTCATGAGAGCTTTGAAGACAGTAAGACAGGACCTGATCCTACCAGATACATTGCCTACTGCTGGTAGTACCCACTGATCCACTCCTGCGCCTGTAATAAGTGCTTAGGGACTTTGCAAAAGCTTATGCCTAAGTATTTTTAGGATTATGCCCTTAATTCTTAGTGTTCCATAAATATGTATTTAACTTTAAGTAGAAGTAGTCCTTTTGACTGCAGTGACACTATAAATGTGCAGAATTAAGCATATGTCTAAGTATTTGTAGGATGAGGGCCTTAATCTGTCACAGCTACCATTAAAATTGTGTGTGTGTGTGTGTGTGTGTGTGTGTGCATGCGCGCATTTGCCTGTATAAAGGTTGTGGTCTTTGAAAATGTGTTAATAATGTAAGTTAATGTGTGAATGTACAGTTATTAAACCACCACATTTATTTATAGATCTTTATATAGAACTTTCTTTTCTTTTTAGAATATTATGCTGCAAAATGTTAAAAATATTTAGTTAATGACATTTACCATTTTTTACTCTTTACATTTTACATTTACTTTGTATCATAATGGAAATATTACTTTTCATCTTTAACTTTTGTCTTGTATGTTTTGGAATCTATCATACTAAATCTTGAAGCACCATCAAGATAGACTGCTTAATTGTTAATTGTAACCCTGTGAAGACAGCGATTGATGATTTTATCCAGAAGTTGTATGATGTTCTTGTCCTTTCTTTGAGAAAGTCCATACAAGGTAAATGATTTTGATGCGTAGTATTTAAATGTTGTTGCATCTGGTGACATGTAGTAACTCTTTTATTTATTCAAATCATTTATTATTTGGAATAATGAAATTGAAAAATTATTATGCAGAAAAAGTGGTTTATTATTAGTTTCATTTAGGGGCATTTGAAGTAAATGTGTATCTTCTTGTTCACCTATTAGCTCTTTATATTAGATCTGGTAAATTTAATTTGGTCATAGCTATTCCAGCAGTAACCCAATCTGTATGAATTTATCCTCTTTGTTCCTATTCCGGAGATGATTACTAGGGAGATATGGTGATTTGAGAAATGAGATTTTATTTACATTTTTGAAATTTTTTGCTAGCATCATATTGAGTAGTAGAGTTACTTTCTCAGTGAGAGCCGGTGAAGCCCTTAGATACCTGGAAGTTAGGTTCGTAAGTTTTAGGCAGCTGACTTTGAGAGTAGAATCTCAAACCAGAGATAAGTATATTGAGTTCATATAAATTATAGGAAGGTAGTTAGTCATGTTAGTCTGAAGTCAGGTAGAAGGCAGGGCAGGATGGCACCTTAGGCCATGTCCAGATGAGTGCAGCCGTTTGTTTCCCCTAGGGAATGCTCATGACACCTGCGCTGTGGCACGTGGCCGGTTACCCTGGGTGGGGTAGGGGAGGCTGGCATCCTGGGGGCCTTAGGGAGCTGCAGCTGCAGCACTTCCTGCAGCTGGGAGCCTGGCCTGCAGTTGGAATATAGCTCCAGCCAGCCAGGCTCCAGTCTTGGTCAGGGAGTGCTGCTGCCACATGCACCACCCTGGGTTTTTTTGCTTTGGGTTCTCTTGACCTCAGGATTTCCCAGGGTCAAAACCCCTCACCCGTGCTGCAAGGTAGCAGCACGGGGCATGCCTGCATATGCGGTATGTGGTGCTGCAGATGGGTCTGTGGCACCACATACACATGTCCATGCACATCTGAATGCGGCCTTGGGTTAGGGACAGACATTCAAAAATCTGGAGCCTGAACTGATTCAGTCTTTGCAGGTAGTTCAAACCTGCCTAGGTTAAACCGATTTGTAACAGTACAGACATTCCTGGTGGAATGAGGAAATGTGGGCACATGCCTGCAGTTGCTGAGACCAGGCACCAGGAGGTGCTAGACCATGCCCTGGGCTGCATGGAAGCTGTGCTGGGGGTGTGGCCAGCCTGGGCAGTAGCCTTGGCTGTTCTGGTCAGAGAGGGGTTTAATTCCCCAACCCTTGTCCCACTGGCAGGGACCCGAGCCGGGTCTGCTGGGCGCTACCCCCTCAGCAGGGCCCCCTGAGGCAGAGGGGGCAGGAAGGTGTTATTCGCCACTCTACCCCAACTGCCCCCAGGGGACTGCAACTGGGTCTGCTGCCCTGACTGCTCCAATTGCTCCCTGCTTGGGCAAGTGGCAGAATAAGCCCCTTCCACCGGCCGCCAGTGGGAGGGGAATAACCCTTCTCCCTGCCCAATGCCTAAGGGGCCCTGCCCCCTGGCCTCTGGCTGTGCCCGTGCGCTGCCGCTGCAGTGGCGAGAGGATGGGGCCCTTGATCCAGGCAGCAGGCCCTGTTATAGTGTTGGGGAGCGCAAGCCGCTTCCCAGTGGGTGTGGGGAGGGAACGCTGCAGCGTGGGCAGAGCTGTGGTGGATTGTGCATGGTAACACTGGAGCTTGGAGAGGGCCAGAGCCCCATGCAGCACCACTGCAGTCCGCAGCAGCTTTCCCCGCTGGGAAGAGGCTTGTGCTTGGGGAAACCATGACGGGGGCTGCTGCCTACATCATGGTCGCTCTCCTCTTGCTGCTCCAGTGGCCAGGCAGGGGCAGGGCCAGACACCAGCAAGCAGGGCCCCTTAGGCGGGGAGCAGGAACCAGGGTTGTTCCGTCCTCTGCCTCCGGGGCACCACAGCAGGGTCTGCCTGTCCCAGCCGCTGCTGCCACCGCTTGCTCTGTGCCTGGGGAAAGTGGCAGAATAAGCCTCGTCCTTCTCCCCCCACTTCCTCCAGCATCTTGTGGAAGGGGCTTATTCCATCGCTTGCTCCAGTGGCAATGGCATTTAGGGCAGGCAAAACCTGCTGTGGTGCCCCAGGGACAGAGGGGAGAAATAACCCTGCTCCCTGCCCCCCGTCTAAGGGGCCCTGCCCGCCGGCATCTGGCCCTGTCCCCGCCCCCGCCTGGCTGCTGGCGTGGCATGGAGGATGTGACCATGATGGGGGCAGCAGCCTCTGTCATGGTTTCCCCAAGCACAAGCCTCTTCCCAGCAGGGGGCCATGCTGTGGTGCGAGGAAAGCTGCTGCAGACTATGGTTTGGCAGTGGCAGCAGCTGTGGCTTGGAGGGATCTGGCCCCCTCCAAGCCCTGGTGCTGCCACGTGCAGTCCACTGCAGCTCTGTCAGCTCTGCAGTGGGGCCCTGCACTGAGAACTGGCTCATGCTCCCTCGCCCTATGTCAGGGTCTGCTGCCCCCATCAAGGGCCCTGCCCTCTTGCTCCTGCAGCGGCTGGACAGGGGTGCAGCAAGATGCTGGTTAGGAGGGCCCCGTAGATGGGTGGGGGGAAGGAGGTGGGGTGGGGATGGTGGCTATTCTCCCCACCTCCAGTGACTGGCGGAGGGAAATTATTCCACCTGCCCCAAGCAGGTAGAGAGTGGTAGTGGCGGCATTTGGGGCGGGTGGACCTGGCTGTGGTCCCCTGGGGGCAGTGCGGGTAGGGAGGGAATAATCCCACTCCCTACTGCCTCTGCCTCAAGGGCAATGCTGGCTTGCTGCTGCAGCTGCAGGCGTGGTGAGGCGGGGGGCACCTGGCAGACCTGGCTCTTGTCCTTTAAAGTGGGACAGGGAGGTGGGAATTAAACCCCTCTCTGTCTAGACCCCTGTCCCTGCTCAGCTGGGGAGCAGAGGCATGGGGCCAGCCCTGCTCCACTGGAGCAGTGAGTCCAGCCCAGACAGGATGTTGGGGGACTCTGGTTTAAGTTTAAACCAGGAGGGGGCCTGGGACAGACATTGTATAAACCGGTTTGAGCTCAATCATTTAAATCTGATACTACATTCACCCAGGTTTATCTCAAGCTAGTTCTGGCCATTTTGAAACTGGTTTATGCGCACTGAATGTCTGCTCTGTTACAGGTTTAAACTAGTTTCTGATCACTTAAACCAGTTTATTTGTAATGTCTGTCCCTAGCCTTGGCGTCTAACTGGATCAGCTCCTCTCTAAGGGGCCACCTGGCCCAGACTTCTATAAAGTTCAGAGGGAGAGCTAGGTGTCTTAGAAGGGAGTTTCAAAAACTGTGCATACTGTTTGAGGAGTTGACCAACCTAACCAAATGGAAGAAACAAGCAGGGGAAGGTATCTAAAATCATGTCCTTCTCTGGAATTTAGGGATCTGAGTCAGGTCTGCAGGGAAGTACCTCCACACAGACAGGATCTAAATCCTAGAATCCTCTTTAACTGTTCTGTCAAAGAACTGAACAGAGTTCATAAAACTTTCACTTTTCTTACTCCCTCACCTTATGGCATTTGGGTGTAGAATTGGAAGACTGTCTCTGCTTCCAAGGCTGATAATACATTGCACATGAAAAAGTCATTAAATTAAAATGCATACATATGTGCAGACAAGGTTCTTTGGGTAAATCGGATATCTTTTATTAGACCTACTCAAATAGTTGGAAACAATTCTTCTTTGCAACCTTCCAGGCACAAACACCCTTAGTCAGGCTGAGGAAGCATCTGCAGTTGGTGTGTGCTCTTCCTGGATGAAATAGTAAAGAAGCCAGAGGCTGGTATGTATGCAAGAAAGCTAGTCAGCGACAATGTAAATTAAGGAGTCAATGGGTGAGAGACAGGTTGGGCAGGGGGTTGGGGAATGAATGTACAGTTTTCCCTTGCCAACTGCTGGGGTTAGGTTCCTGAAAATTCCCGTGGTTGGCAAAACCGTTGTTGGCAAGACAAAGGCTTATGGGAAAAATGGCAGGTGGCAGGCTGGTGCGTGGCCACGGAAAACCGTGATTACTCAATACTGTATACCGTGGTAGCCAAAATGGTATATAGAATATTAAGTGTGGATACTCAAAACTGCGGTTGGCAAAACTGCAAGGGAAACCTATAGCTGGTAAATAGTGGAGAGGTAGCTGGGGAGTCAGACGTTAGGCAGATGCTTCCTTAGCCTGATGAAGGGTGTTTGTGCCTGAAAGCTTGCAAAGAAGAATTTTTTACAACTATTTGATTTGGTCTAATAAAATATATCAGATTTACCCAAAGAACCTTGTCTGCTTGTATCCTTGGACCAACACAGCTACAACCTATACCCCTGAAATACGTATGTGCATGCACACGTGTGCATGCATGATGCAGACACAGACATGCGCACACACACACATGGATAATCCTGGGAGCAGGGATTGGAATTGGAGCTCTCTGAGGGTTTATGTATTGTTCTGCTCTGTTTCTGCATCTCATTTGAACTCAGGCAGGAGCTGGCACCCCATTGTTCAGGCAGGGGCAATTCTGGGCAATAAGAGAAGTAGAAGTACAAGGGTTTATGGAGATGTATAAGCAAAAAGGGAGGTACTGAGAGAGAGATTTACGAAGTTATTTAGTAATCTAATTTCCCAGTGTAATTACTGGGAGATAAGGAACTGAAATAGGAGTAAGGCACCTGAATACATTTGTGAATTTTGGCCCTAGTAAGTATAGGTGAGCACTGAGTCAGATAGTTTTACATCTTCATTAATAATTTTGAGGATGGGATTGACTGGATACCTGGCAGATTTGTGGATGATGAAACTAGGTGAAGTTGTCAAAACTTTGGAGGATAGGATTAAGATTCAGGATGACCTTGATGAACTGGAAAAATGGTCCAGAATTTATTAATGAAATCCCAAATGGAGGAGTTCAAAGTTCTGCACTTGAGATGGAGCAATGACATTCATGCATAGTCACAAACTGGGGGATGACTAATGAGGCTTCAGTGCTGCCAAAAAGGACACAGGGGTTAGAGTGGGCTCTAAAACAAAATTATTCTCCTGTTGCAAAAAAGACTAGTAGCATAACAGGAATATCACTTGAAAGTCAAATGATGCTCTATTCAGCTTTGGTAAGAACTCCCCTGGAGTACCGTTCCAGTTTTGGGCATCACACTCCAAGAAAAATGTGGAAAAATTAGAAAGAATCCAGCAGAGAGCAACAAACATAATTAGAGGTCTAGGAAAGATGACTTATAAGAAAAGGTCGGAAGAACTTTCTCTGCTTAGGAAAAGTGAAGATGGAGGGGTGATTTGATAACAGTCTTCAGATACTTGAAGGGTAGTTATAAAGTGGATGGGCACTTGGGGACAGGAGCAATGGTCTTAACTGGAAGCAAGGGAAATTTAGGTTGGATATTAGGAAGAACTTTCTCATTATATGGATGGTTAAGCATTGGAAAAGATTATCTAAATAGGTCGTGGAATTTTCATCCTTGGAAGTTTTTAAGGACAGATAAAACCAGTGGTGCTCAAACTTCTGGCCCCGTTGGACATATATGAGTGGCATGGGACTGGATCCTGTGTGGGGTTGTAGCATGAGGGCAGTTTGTGGGTGCAATCCAGTGCACTGGACTGACCCTATGTGCCTGGATCCAGCCACATGCCAGACCAACCCTGTGTGCCTAGACTTGGCTGCATACTAACCCAACCCTGCACGCCCAAAACTGACTGCACTGGCCTGACCCAGAGCACCCAGACCTAGTCATGGTCTGGCACACAGGGCCTCATTATCTGGCTCACAGGACTCCCCATCCTCATGAGTCTGGACATTTGGCAACAGGGGAGTGGCCATTAATGCTGCCCTTCCCATCAGATTTCTGGATCATTGCAGAGGCCCATGATTCAGATTACACAGCTCTATATGCTGGATTTGGCCCCTGGGTTAGATAAACACTAGGTTGGCTATACAGGGTTGATTATGCCTTGAGTAGGTGATTGAATTAGGTGACCTCCTGAGGTTCCTTTGAAGCCCTACTTTTTAGTGATGCTATTATTCCGACTTCTGGGCCTCTGGCAGATATTACAATCATTGTAAAGTTGGGATCTGAGGAATGGTATGCCCAGTCTCCAAATTTACATGTCTTGCCATGCCAGTTGTGCATGGCAAGATGCACAATTTTGGGGATTAAGGATATAATTCCTGAGATCCCAGTCACATGACTGAAGATGGCAAAGCCTGGCATGGGGGACCTAGATCCTCATGGTGAGTTCCTCATGTGCCAGTAGTGTTGATGCATTTGGTATTAGGGATCTGGTTCCCTCATCCTTGATTTTCAGTGGACAAGGAGAATCCTCAAATCCCAAATTTGGAACAGGGGCTTCTTCCAGAGAATGGGCAGGAGAAAGCCCTGGTTTTGGACTTGGGAGCTGGGGCTGCCTCCAGGGATCAGGTGAAGAGCATCCCCAAGTCCCGAAGCTGGTATCAGGGGCTGCTTCCAGTTGGCAGGGGAGAGCCCCAGGTCTCAGAACTGTGGCCTGGGGCTGCCTCCAGGGATTTCCTGGTTCTCAGTGAAAGCATGCAGCTTGGGAGTGTGGACCTCCAGCTGGAGACTGGAGGGCTCCACAGTGCTCAGGTGTGTGCGCCCCAACCCTGTTCCTTCAGAGCTGGAATGAATGCAACTGGGCACTGGGGAGCCTGGGTCCCCAGGTGTGGTTGCTATAGATTCAGTATTGGCTGCACAGCATGGCTTTAAATGGTTCTGTGCTGGATAGTCCATAGACTTGGCATACAAAGACATTTTAAAACCACACCAATGCTACATCTCACATTTTCAAATTAAGGTTTGATACAAACAAGCTACAAAGAGGTTCTACATTATATATGGAACTTCTATGTGACTTGTTTGCCTTTTTCATTCCATAAATTTGCTGAATGTTTGGCATGTTGCAGTTTATGGCACGATTAACATGTTAATTGTGCCATAAGTATAACATCTGCCAGGGCTTTGGATTGCACTTTTGGATGTATGGGCCTAAAATCTGCCTAAATTCTGTTTGGGTATATGACTCCTTTTTTGAATCTGACCAACACTTTAGATTGATCCTACCTAAATGGGGTTTGGACAGAATTTAGACCATTAAGGTAATCCTTGGGAGTACCTAATCAGTGGGTTGCAGAATCATATTCTGTCTTGTTTGTTTTCCATAGCCACATAGTTCTTGCATTTCTGGCTGTTCACTGGCTCAGCTTTAGTGGGAGATTTTGATAAAGCAAGGTTAATGCCCGGATCATGATTCATGACCATGACAATTTAGGATGGAGTATTCTGTGACCTTAAGATTTTTATTATTTTTTGTGTGTAATATATTTTTTCAAATTTTCTCTACATAGCTCATCTACATGATGTTTCGTCATTTCTAACTGATGCAATGGAAGCATTGATAGTTAGGCCCCATAGTGTAGAGGAGCTAGCAGAAGATAATTTAAAGTATAAACAATTGCAAGAAAAAAAGGAAGAGGTAAGCCTTTATTTCATCATAAACCACTGTTCAAAAGAAGATAAAATGTGTTTTTTGTCTATGCCTAGAGAGAGCGAATAGTATTACAGGGCTCTGCTAATTAAAACCATACATTTTTTTTTTAAATGAAGGGAGGATTTAGTGCCCTCTTATATCTGCTGCTTCAGCTACCAATGTTGCATGCACTTGCAGGTTCTGCAGAACCAGTCATCAGTAAATTTATTAATAATGTTGATTTTGAGTTGTATTTCTCTCTTTCTGCTCTAAAATCCATGTGAATGGATCTCTCCATTAGAGATTTTGTAAGCTGACTGATTCAGAAAAGCATTCGCAAATATAGATCAGACTTCAGGATCAAGGCTTGCAGCTGCTGTATCTTGCTTCAAGCTTGATTTAATTCTTTTGTGTATATGAGCACAATTAACTTAAAAAAAATGCACCACTGTATTTACTTGGATATAAGATGATCCTAAATTTAAGATTACATCTCCAATAATTAGATTTCTTTATAAATTTGTTACAATTTTCCACGGATGGAATTTTATTATCGGAGTATTGTTTTTTAATTCATTCCCGCACTGCTGCAGGGGGGGCAGGTGGTATGGGGAGCCGGTGGCATGGCCTGCCCCTGCTTGCCCCTGCTTAATAGCTTGCCCCTGCTTATGTCTGCTTCCTTGTTACCTCCCAGCTTCTGCTTCTGCCCTTTTCCTTCCTTCTGCAGCCTCTGCTTCCCTCCTCCCAGACTCTGCTCTCTGCTTCCCTCCCTCTCTCCCCTTGCTCCACGCTAAGAGGCTCTATCCCCTTATAGTTTGGGGCACTGACCATGGCCTCAGCCCAGCCTTTGTAGCAGCTGTGTAGACTGAATGGCATTTCTATGGGGCTGGGCTGGGGCCATTGCTTAGTGCCCCAGGTTGAAGTGTGGATGGAGCCTGTGGAACAAGGATAAGGTGGGGAGAAGAATAGGGGCAAGAAGAGAGCAGAGGCTGCATAGGTGGAGGTGTGTGGAGAAGAGGCTGTAGGGGGGAGGTAATGGGGTACAGAGGTGGTAGTGGTGGGGGTTAGGCAGCAGCTGCAGCTGTGGCCCCAACCCTGAGTAGGGGCTGGAGCCTGAGCCACAGCAGCTGCACGCTTCCTCCCCCCCGCCACCTTCCCACTGCCCTCATACTCGATTCTAAGACAGAGGGCTTTCCTCCCATGTTAAATGGGGAAAAAGGCCCTTAACTTAGAATCGAGGAAATACGGTACATTGTAGAGTAGTTTTGATCAGTGGTGACTGTTGAGCGCTTACTGAAATAAATTCACTAAAATGCAAAATTTTATGCAATCTTTTATCCTTATATAAAAATCTGTTTTAAATTAGATTTTTCTCAGGTTTCAAGAAGCTGAAGGTAAAAACAAGCTTTTGCGGACAGTGGCTGGTGGGGGTTTAGATACAATGAGCAACCTGAGAGCTACATGGGATAAGTTTGAATTAATGATGGAAAGTCACCAACTCATGATTAAAGACCAGGTGAGACTGAGGGTTTAGTTATTTACCTAAATACATTAATATTGTTCTGGAGGTACGTTGTTTTTTTGTTTTGTTTTTTGCTGCATGAAAACCCCCAAATGTGCCATCTCAATAGTAGCTACAGATTTAAAAGATGAGCAAGAGGCTTTAAGGAAATACCATTTAGACTGTTTTAAAGATGACCAGTGTCAGGTAAGAATGCTAGAGGTCTGGCTCTCAAATGAGTGAGTTTGTAACAGCCACTTCCTGTAAGCAGAGCTGCAGCTGTTTTCTCCTGGTACCCATGTACTCTTCCTTCTTCTCCCTTGGATGGGGAATGGGAGAGCTGAGCACTGTGGGATGCTGGGGTTCCAAGGGACTCCTGTAGCACTATATGTAACTAGACAGATGTTATGTATGGTGCTACAAAATGTCCAGTTACTAACAAGTTCCTCTTTGAATGAGAAACATTTATGTGGCAGATCTGCCATTTTTGGTTGCACTACAGACAGTGTGCATGTCTGAACTGTAGCTTTTTGTTGTGCTACCCAGGATGTTTGTAGCACTGCTATTATAAATGTCTGTTCTCTTTAAGGGTTTCCTTTTATTAATTGAAAAGACTATAGTTGAAAGGAATAGAGTAGTACAGATTTAGCATGTTTGTCACTTACCGCTTTAAAAAGAAATATTGATACCTACCATTTTAATTGTTGCAAAACTCCTAAAAAATGGCCCCAGTTCTGTAACAGATAGAATGAAGATAGACTGCTGTACTCATATGGAGCCCCAGTGAAGTTGGTGAGTTTTCATTTAGGCATTTACAGTTGACCTGTGTGTTGCTGGTTGCAGGAGCATCGCTGGCACTCAGAATCTCTTGTTGATTTTAAAATGGTAGTCATTATCACCAGTACTAGTAAAGCCTTACCTGGAGTACTGTGTCTGGTTCTGGGCCCCGCAGTTCAAGACAGTAGGCCGAGGCAAATTGTTCATAAAATTGCTGTGGAGATAAAGTGATACAATATCAGATCAGAAAACCTATATCCTTGAGAGAACCTCAAATTTAAAAAATATTTTTTATGTTTGTGTAACACCTTTACTCCTTTTTGAAAAAAAAAATGTGATAAAGATTAGATATTTTTTAAATATTTGCAATGAGTTGAAAGACTTGGTTATTTCAATTTTGACTAGATAAAGTTTGTATATATAAGTTATTGAGGAATACATTTTATTTTAAAAATTCTTTTGGTTTCTAGATTGAAGTGATGAAAGGAGATGTGATGGCCCATGTTAATGTATATCTTCAAGAACTGGAAAAGTTTAAAGCTCGTTGGGATCAGTTAAAACCTAGTGATGATGTCATTGAAACAGGCCATCGGGATATGCTTGAGAAAAGTGCTCAGATAATAAAAGAAAAAAAAACTGAATTTGATGAACTTGAAGTCACAAAGAACAAATTGATGTATGTTTACTTCTTTGTATTTTTGGTTGTAGCCATAGACATAGGCAGGCCAGGTTCTTTGGGTAGATGTGATGTCTTTTAGACCAACTAAGTCTAAGTCTACTCAGTTGGTTTAATAAAAGATATCACATCTCCCCAAAGAACTTGGCCTGCCTATTTCTTTGTATGTATTATTTATATTAATTTATGCATGCTTTGCAGTAAAATTGTTTAACTTCAGCTTTTAGACAGGTGAGAAGATGTAGACTAACAATTAAATATAATCTCAACAGATAATTATAAATCCCATTTTCCTTTAATTACAATTCATTGTTTAAACTTCAAGTGTTTATTTTACATGGAAGAACCCTTCTGGATTGAGTCTATGCATTTTAAGCTATGTGTTTTTTTTTTTAATAAGATACAACCTATAGAGAAGAAAAAATCTTGAAATCTTGTGAGGAAAAGCAGTTAACTTTTCTTAATACAAAGGGAGGAAAAATAAATTTATGCATACTAAGGAACGTTTTTGTATGTGGAACTTGTCTCTTAGGAGGGAATATGAGAAAATGTGTTCTGCAATAAAATAAATGTACTTATGTGGCCAAAGTTAAGCATGTGTGGAAGAATCTCTAGGATTACAGCTCTAATATAGAATGATATACTAATAAAGTGATCTTTTTTTAGTGAGGATTGCCATCATTTTGAAATAGAAGAGCCGGATTTCTCCTTGGCAAAAACTGTATGCAAGGATATTGAAAGCTGCGCAGAAGTATGGACACTTTATGAAGAGTTTCATCAAGGTTTTCAGGAAAAAGCCAAGGAAGACTGGATTACTTTTAGGTATGATTTTGTTTTTAAGCTTTTATATATGTGTTTATTGCTTATTGAAATACTGTATTGTAGTGTGATTGGGCAATCTCCCAGTCACAGTACCCGCCTGTCCAGGGCAGTCTGCCTGGTCTTGCCTTCCACACCTTTGATGTAAAGTAAACTGGAGTCGCAATAAGCAGGAGGCTGCCTGTTTTAAGACCCTGATGTCTAGGGCTGTACACATGACTCCAATCTGCCCTTACCCTGTCCCAGGCCTCGCAGATGTCATCCTTGAGTTGCTGTTTGCTTCAGCTTGAGGCCGGGCCAAAATCAGCCCCTTGCTAGGCCTCACACATTTCTCCTTTCTCTCCACCCCAAAGGGCCTCGCTGATACCACCTGCTCTCACTGGGTCTCTCATGCTCCTCCCATTCTCACTGGGCCTTTTGCATGTTGCCCCACACAGGGCCACACTCAGCCTGCCCTGCTCCCTTCAGTGGCTCTTGTAGGCCATCAGGCTTGCCTACACACACTCCTTGCCTGGCCCTGGCTCATAGATTCCAGGGTCGGAAGGGACCTCAGTGGGCCATCTAGTCCAACCCCCTGCCCCTGGCAGGCAAGAAAAGGGTCACCAAACCTGGGATCATGTGATTCTAGCCAAGTGCCTATCCAGTCTCCTCTTGAAGACCCCCAAGGATGGGGTGAGCATCACCTCCCTTGGAAGCCCACTTCAGATCCTGGCAACCCTGACCATGAAGAACTTTTTTCTAATGTCCAGTCTAAACCTACTCTCCAATAGCTTATGGCCATTGTTCCTTCTTATTCCAGGGGGTGCCCTGGTAAACAGATCATTGCCTACTTTGTGTCGCTCCCCCACTTATGAATTTGTACGTTGCCACAAGGTCCCCTCTCAACCTTCTCTTGGACAGGCTGAAAAGGCTAAGGTCCCTTACCCTTTCCTCGTAAGGCCTTCCCTGAAGGCCTCCAATCAGATGAGTGGCTCTTCTTTGGACCCTCTCCAGGTTGTCCGCATCCCGCTTGAACTGTGGTGTCCAGAACTGGACACAGTACTCCAGCTGCGGCCTGACTGGTGCCGCGTAGAGATGGAAAATCACCTCCCTGGACCTGTTTGTGAACCACCTACGGATGCGCGACAGGGTGCGATTATCTCTGCCAACTACTTCATCATATTGACGACTCATGTTCATCCTGGAGTTAACAGTGACTCTAAGATCTCTTTCTGCCTCAGTGGTGCTGAGAAGGTTGTCCCTCAGCCTGTAGGTATGATGGCAGTTTTTCCTCCCTTGGTGCAGCACGTTGCACGTGTCCTTATTGAATTGCATCCTGTTGTTCTCTGCCCAATTTCCCAACCTGTTGAGGTCAGCCTGGATCTGGTTCCTCCTTTCCAGGGTGTTAGCTTCACCTCATATTTTAGTGTCATCCGCAAATTTGGACAGGGTGCTTCCCACCGCCTCATCCAGATCACTGATGAAGATGTTGAACAGCACCGGCCCCAGAACTGAGCCTTGAGGGACTCCACTGCACACATCTTTCCAGGATGACACTGACCCATCCACCACCACCCTCTGAGTGTGACCCCTGAGTCAGTTTGCTACCCATTCTACTTTATAATCATCCATGGCAAATCTCCTCAGTTCATTATTGAGGATGGTATGGGATACCATGTCAAAGGCCTTCTTAAAGTCCAGATAGATAACATCCACCTCAACTCCTGCATCAAAACATTTGATGGCCTTATCGTAAAAAGAAGCTAGGTTAGTCAGGCAGGACCTGCCTGCTATAAACCCATGTGGGTTGCCCCTCCTCATCACATTAGCCAGCAGGCTCCCACAGATATGTTCCTTGATAATTTTTTCTAGGATTTCCCCAGGATAGAGGTAAGGCTGACCAGTCTATAGTTCCCCGGATCCTCCTTTCTCCCTTTCTTAAAGATTGGGACGACATTGGCCCCCTTCCAATTCTCTGGGACCTGACCTGAGCATGAGCGCTCATATATCCTTGCTAGTGGTTCAGCTATGACACTTGCTAATTCCTTCATTACCCATGGGTGAAGTTCCTCCAGTCCTGGTGATTTGAACATGTCCAGTCCCTCCAAGTGTCCTTTTACTGTATTGGTACTGACCGTTGGTCGGCTGATGTTCCCCTTGTTGATGTCCATGATGCATATTGAGGGTTTGTCTAGTTTCATAGTTTCATAGTTAGTAGGGTGGGAAGGGACCTGAGCAGATCATCACGTCTGACCCCCTGCCACAGGCAGGAAAGAATGCTGGGG